GGGAGCGGGTCGCCGAGAACACTGGAGGGTGTAGATCCTCCTCGGATCCCCGCCCGGATGGCCGTGGGCTGTGGCGGGGTGCGCGAACCGGCCCCTGTGAGACCGCGCTTTGCCGGGGAGCTCCGGGACTATGACTCCCTGCTTGGCGCAGGTGTGGGTTCTGTGGAGGTCCGCGGCCCACGGGCCCGAGGCCCCCTTTGGGCTAGACATCACCACAGAGCGCAGGGCCCTGTGGCCACCGCCAGCCCTTGTCCCACTCCCCCGACTCCCCTGGCTTGGTGCTGTCTTCCCAGACCCAAAGATGAGGTGTAGGGTCGGTTGGTTATTTGCAGTGGGCCGTCCCGACATTGTGGAATTTTAGCAGCATCTCGGCCCCTATTCTAGGTGTCAGTCGTAACCCCCCACTCTAGGCTGACAACTCAGGCTATCCTAGACATTGTCACTGTCCACCCTTCAGGGCAGAACTGCAGCAAGCTCGTTTCTAGCAGCACACAACTGGTGAGTGGAGTCGTTCCAACATCTTCCAACTCCATGTGGGCACCTGGCCACTACCAGCAGGGCCTCCAGTGGGGCTGGAAAGGAGCATCTCCCCTGGTTCAGAGCCTTATGCCGAAGGAAGTGCAAGGCGGGAGCGGCAGGCAGCCAGGCAGATCCCAGCGGTTCTGGGGGATGAACTTGTCACCTGCACCTTTCGGTGATGAGAGGCCTGGAAGTCCAGGCTTACCAGGTGGTGACTGTACCGGGCCTGGGGAGGCAAGAATTGAGTTCGTATACGGGGTAGTAGCTGGCACAGGCAGGGAGCTGCAGCCCCTCAGGAGAGCTGGGGTAGGAAGAGGGATCTGGGGAGCCAGTTCAAGAGTCTGGAACTGGAGTGAAGCAGGGCAGCCTACCCAGCCCAAGGCCCAGAGCGGGGCCCTGCCCAGCACATCAGGGCAGACTCAAGGCAACACACCCGTGCGTTCAGTGCCTGCAGGCCACCAAACCACCTTGGAGCTCAGGCCCATCCCGTCGCTGAAGGTACTGAGCTGCAGAAGTGCTGGAAGACCGGAAGTAGAGCCGCCAGCTTGCCTGGAAAGGAGCTGCCAGTGGCACATCTGCAAACTGCAGCCACTTTCTGTGCCAGCAGCACTTCCTGCCCAGGACTCTGCAGAGCTGAGTAAGCCATTTGCGCACCGCCCACCAGGCCCCATCCACCCTGGAAGGCTTGCCAGAGTCCAGACCATTGCTCCTTGGAAGGAGGCAGTGTCCAGTGCAGACACAAGTGCTAATGACCTGCAGTGACCTGACCCCTTGTTGTCGCTGAGCTGTCCAGGCTGCTGGGACCCTGTGCGCAGAGGGCTGGCCTGACATAAGGATCAGAGTGTGGGAATAGAGGCCCTGTGCACTTGTCAGAACCCCCGAACACAGATGGAGTGTAGGCTTTGGCCTTTATAATGTATCCACCTTGGTCCATGGATCATAAGACATACAGGCGAGATGTTAACAGGCTGGGGTAAAGGATGTATGGGGAATTCTGTCTACCTGCTCGATTTTTCTGTAAACCTGAATAATAAATCTACTGATTTAAAATCTATGGTAAGAATGAATATTTGTCTGGCAGGGTTCTTGGAAGAATTACCTAGAATATTGGGAAGGAACCTTTCCCCTGCCTTCCAGGACACAGGCACTTTGGGAGGGTCCCTGAAGCAGGAATTCCCAGGTTCCACTCTTCTTCACCTGCGGGCCAGCCTGGGGTGCAGGCATGACAGCAGAACTGGTAACAGAGTCATGGTCAGCCCCTGTCAGAGGACCCTCTGAGAGCTTCTCCCAGGAAATGGCTCAGTCTGTGCTGTTCCAGGATGGAGTTTCCTCCAAGGGGGCCTCTCACAGGCTAAATCCAGGAGGAGCTCCGCAATGTCCCTCCTGCCCCTGTGGCAGGAAAAGCCAACTCCTCAGTGGTCCCCACAGTGTCTGCAAAAGGTATGGGACACCCTCTCAATCCACAGGATACCAGCTGAGCTAAACAGCAAGAGTCCAAGCCCACCAGAATCACCCTGTATTAGGGAGTCTGGGAGTCTGGGGGCCCAGGTGGCACCTCACTCTGGATGATGGCAAGTAAGGAAGGGCTGAGCCATTACTGTCCTGCTTGATGGTGGGCTCCGGTGACAGCAGCCCCCGCAGCACCCTCAGTGTGGTATGTGGGTAAATGTGCTCAGTCCTCCCTCAGGCGGCAGAGCAGAAGGCAGACCAAAGTATTCATAAAGGCTGAGAGAGGCCTCTAGTCCACAGCCCACGCTGAGTCTGCCAGTGTTGGAGGGGTCCCAGGAGTATGACCCGAGTCTTGGATTTACGCACACACAGCTGAGCTGCAGATGTCACCCTGGCCCCTGGATGTGGGAGGCCTCAGACCCAGTAGGGTACCAAGCTTCCTGAGAGCTTATCAGGGACACGTGTCCAGGAGGCAGGTGGATAGGCGAAAAGGAGTGAAGGCTCAGGCTGCTCTGGTCCACTCAGCCATGGACCGTTATGCCTTGGCCACCTGGCTCAGACCCCTTTGTGACCACTTGGCTCCGGAACAAGGGAGACTCAGCGTGGGCTGTGGACTAGAGGCCTCTCTCAGTCTCTCTCAATACTTTGGTCCACACAGGACCTGGGGCAGCATGTGGCTGAGGCTCAGGCAGTTCACAGAGGCCAGGGGTATGGAGGGTGTTGGTGAACCCCTCACATCTCTTTCCAGGTGATGTAAGTTGCTGGTGTCACTGCCACCTCACCTCTGGTGGGAGCTGAGGACAGAAGTCTCTCCGTTAGTGGAGGGCAGCATGATGGGCTCCCCACCGTACCCAGGGCAGAGTCTCGGGGGCCACAGATGCAGCCCAGCAGATTGAATGCCTGTAGTTTTGAGCTTCCACATGTGAGCTTTTGGCTGTTGTTATCCGAAGTGGCCATTCCCTGAAGCCACTTCTTGAAGGTCTCCATCTCCCCAGAAACTGGAAGCTCAAAGAACAATGTTTACTTTCCTCCAAACACAGCCAGGGATTTTCTCTCAGCACAAGGCTAGGCATGGCCCCTGCTTTAGACCTCAGCTTTCGCTCGAGAATGCCAGTGCACATGTTCTAACTCTCCAAGTCATCCCGTCACCCAGCCTCCCCTCGAGGTCACTGCTGACCTTCTCATAGGGACGTAATTATCGTAACTGTGGTCAAGTGATGCTCCGAGAGCCAACACTTCTAATTCAGTGTTTGGCAACTGCAGTGTGCAACATGTAATTACAACGTGACACATCCCAGGAGGCCCAGCCCGCCTCAACCCAGTAACCCAGTGCAGTCTCCACCTTCCTCCGCCCCATCCTAATGTGCTGGCAGGTTTTGGTGTCAGAGAGAGTGGGAGGGAGACAGCTGCTGCCAGCGTGGCTGGGGCTGAGAGGCTGCCTCGAGGGGGCTGAGTGTGGGCTTTGAACCTCACAGCCCGGAATGGAGTCCAGACAGACTCTGGCAGGTGTGTGGCCTTGGGCGTACCCGCAGCAGCTCAGCTCTCATGGTATTGTTATCCCTCTTGATCATCACTGTTGTTTGTGCCAGTTGCTACATTGACCTTGGACTTGGCAGCTCCTCACCCTCTTGCTGCCCATGAGTGACCACAGCCCCCAAGGTGAGGAGCTTTAGTGACCTAACCTGCCGGTCACTGGAAGTCCCTTGAGACACCTCCCCACAGGGACAGGGGCAGCTTCAGGAGGGGCCCAACCATGTCAGAAGGTGAATTTGTCCTGGAGGTGACAGCTGGAAGTTCAAGTGGATCCTGGGCCAGGCCAGTGGAATGCACACTGCAGTGCTAAGCTGTCCATGCATACACCTTCCTCGGCCTGGCACTAGCACCTCTCCTGCTCCCAGGGGCTGCTGGCAAAGCTGGGGGCCAGGTAATTGCTCCCTGGCCAGGAAAAGGTATAGTAAA